TCTTTGTTGTCACACTCAAACATAAGTCCTTCATCAGATGAGTGAGCCATTAGGGCTAGATTAACATTATCTTCATTTTTTGACTCTTCTTCATCCAACTCTTCCCATGTTGCCATGAAATTCTTTTTGAACCTGTTTCTGAAATTATCTTTTTGATAACTTCCTTTTCTCTGAATCTCCTTCAGAGGTTTAGAACAATCACTTTTGAAGTGCTCTGGTTTGTTGCATTTGTAGCAGGTCATATCTTTATCTTCGAAGTTAATCCTTTTGTTGCTCTTAGAAATTCTTCTGCTTCTTCTGGCCATTTGTTGAATCCCTTTGATGAAGCACGCCATGTCTTCATCATCATATCTTCCATAAAATTCTTCTTCATACAATTTATCGGCTTTAATAATTTTAGAAGATCTTCTGGACTTGTCACCAGATTTTCAGAGGCAGATCTCAGTGCGAGAGACTTTAACTTCTTTGAAGTTTCATCTCTATTAACGTCCATCTCATGACTTTAAAGATTGTTGATTAGACTTTCAAGAGACAACATATCCAGATCTTTAGCTTCCTGAATAGTTGTTACTTTAGGTTTAAACTTCTAAGGGAGACTTCTCAGAATTTTCTTCACATGATCAGTTGTTGAGTAGCTTTTGTTCAGCACTTGAAGGCCTGAGACAAAATCTGAAACTTGGAGAACATGGCCTTAATATCCTCATCTTCCATCATTTTGAATAACTCATACTTCTGTATCAATAAGCCAGCTTTGGCTTTTTTGACTTGTTGATTCCCTTGATAAGTAGAACACAGAGATTCAAAGATAGTCTTTGCAGAAGACTTATCAATGATTTTCAAATACTCAGCATGTGGAAATGCATCAACCAGAATACTTCTAACTATATAATGTTTTCTATAGATTTTCTTTTGAGCAGGAGTCAGAGTTTTTCTGTCATTAGCCATACTAACACTATCTACAGGAATGTAAATGTCATCTTCAAGAATATCCCATAGCTCATCATCTAGTCCAATGATATACGTATACATCTTGCTTTTCTACCATTCAAATTCAATAGAGTCACCATTGAATACAGAAGGTTTAACACTGTAGTGATTTCTCTCAGAGCTATTGTAATCATAGGGAATCCCCCTTAAGGTACTAAGATTAGTAACCTCATGGTTCATAACTTTCTCGTTGGATCTTTGACTGTACCACTATTAAGTGTTACAAACAGACATTGCTCTGATGCCAACTGAATGTGAGAAAAATAAATAAGAAGGGGGTTGATTTATTTATTGCAAAAATTAGATTTACTTCTGAACCTGAGTTCAAATTCTAAAACTTTGTTCAAAATCTGATAGGGTGTAGCGGAAATAGAAACATAAATAAAGTAAAAATAGAAAAGAACACACAATAATTATCCTGGTTCCTCTCCCAACTAACAGTACTCCAGTCCCCTTGCCAATCAAGAGATTTTCCACTATAATCATCCAAATTACACTTGGTTATACACACTTGTATAAGACTTTTCTTTTTGCTCAGACCATTTGTCCAAGACTTCCCTTGCTTAGAGCTCGTGTCTAAGACTTCCCTCTGCTCAATTAGCTCCTGACCGAGACTTATCTTGCTTAGACCTGCTTAAGACTTTACCTTGCTTAGAACTCGTGTCCAAAACTTTCCTCTGCTTAGAGCTCGTGTCTAAGACTTTCCATTGCTTAACCAGTTTCTGATTAAGATTTTTCTTTGCTTAGAGCTCGTGTCTAAGACTTCACCTTGCTCAAGCCTACAGTAAGAGACTTAATTCTAAACAAATAATTTAAAGAAGGAATAACTTACAAGAACACTTGATAAATATCAGAGGTGTTCAAAATAATAAAACACATTTTTATAAAGATTCTTAATCAACACAAGAATAAGAACTCTCAACAGACTCAACTTTCTGATAGTAGTGTGTGTATTTCTCAGTTGTATTTGCAGCGTTATTTCTTGGTTAATCTTCAAATCTTCAGCTGCTTTTTATAGCTAAAGAAAATAGAGACGTAAGAGCATCTTCAACGGCTACAAACAAACCAAATCTTCTAGTACATCTTCTTTTCCAATAAAGCAAGCGTTGGAACTTTCAGTCACAAGAATATCCATGAAACAAGGCCTTTGCCCAGAGGATACAACTATGATTCAAGTACAACATAACCTATAGAAGATAATGTTAACAAATTGAGTCCCATGTTAGCAAAACTAATTTGACATTACTCGACATTAGAGGCAACATAGCACGCTTCTGAGCTGGAGTGTACTTGCAGCTACTTTTCTGATCAGACTATGATCAGAACCGAACCAAAGTCGTTTCAGTGTCAAAAACAGTTCCATCAAGTAAATATAATTCTGGACATACAAACTAGCTAGTTAGAAATCTTAATTGATTTTCAAATACTTTGTTATCATCAAAACCTTGGAGGATGCATGGTATGAACCAAACTTATTTCAACATGGTATTCACCAAGTCAACATACCTTGAGCATTTGCAATATTGTAAAACACGCTCGACTTGCTTATTTTATCTATGTTATATGAAAAATGAAATCACACATGTTAAAAAAAGGCATGAAGGCTCTGCTCCACCCTCACAAAATATCTTTCTCCTCTCCTCTTGGCTAACTGCACTCAAGATAACATAAGTATCATTTCCCCTTTTCCTCACATTGATAGAAGGCATCTTACCGGGGCCGAACCCATCCCCGTAGATAAGCCTTTTAAACCAGGATTACATTTCTTCTTTCATTGTTACCTCTTCTAGAGAAAGAGAACCCAACTTGGTATAATAGGAGTGAGTGGACCGATTAAAGTGGAGCTTGGACCAATATTTTGGGTTTGAAAAGTGGCAAAAGCAAGAAGAATCGGAAAATACATAACAGAAAACAAAGTGAGCTGTGGGGGGTGAAAGGTTTCTATAAGGAGAAACCTCCCTACAAATTGCCTCAGATCCAAAGTGAATGGGTCGAACCAAAGGTTAACCAGATGGAAGTATATAAGCCCATGGTTACAAAAATTATCCAGGGAAGTATGCCTCAGATGTAAAGGTAAAAAAATAAAATAATTGAGGGCTTCCAAGATTTTTACTCGACACACAATCAGAAGACCCTTTATGTATGCCCATATCCCTTAAATTCATAAAAAGGTGGATGAAGTCATACTCTAGTAAATAGGCACTTGTAAAGCGGGATCACACACTCATCAAAAGAACTATATATCCTATTTTCCCCTGACAAAAGAAGGGCCAGCCACTCTGAAGGATCGCCGATCACAATGTCATCATCGCTTAAAGTGACCTCAATACTCAAAGTCGGGGAAACACTTGCTAATTTTGCATCTACCAATCATACTCTGATGCATCTCAACAGCTTCAAAAACTCAAGCGCTCCAGTATCTCAGTGTCTCTTGGATCACTACCAATTGTTCACAAAGGCAGTTTAATAAAGCCTCTAGCACATTCCCTCCTTTGCAAATTGGCTCATACCTTTTCGGTGTGATGTATTCTTTCGCCAACATTTGATATGAGGGTGTCTAAAGACCTATAAGAAGATGTTTCTTTCCTCGAGGAATGCCTAATCTAATCTACGTGATTTCTATTAAGAGAAGGAAGAGGAAAATTAGAGGATGACCCTGATGAAGCTTCCACTTCAGAATCATTCACTAAATCAATATTATTATCACTAATTCTTACCAAAAATAGGAAATGTTGAAGGTAAAGCTTGAGTTAGAAAGGTACATGGCTATGGGAGATTGACAAAGTAGGATGAATGGAAAAAGGAAAAGCTTTAAGGGAAACATTGAATCGCTTCTAAGTGATACTCCCGTGGAAGAAGGAACAAATACATTTTCTATAAAGTTTGAAAGGTAAATGTTGCAAAAAAAACTTTCAAATACTCAACTCATTCTACTTATATGCAACAACATCTGAAAGTTCAAGACTCGCTATGGAAATAAATCACAAGATCGACTAGAATTTCACTCATGGATACACGCCAACTCAAGTGCACTCTATAAATTGCATTGTACCCTAACAGGTCACGTTACTGCACGTTCCAAAAAAGAGTGACAAATCATTTCAATTATGGAACTACATTAATGCGCTCATTACTTTTTCAAAAAACTAATCCTAGACATTTAAGTTCATTTAACATTGGATCACGACATGAAGGTCGGTAAATAATTATTAAGACTTCCCCGACTCCTTCAGTGTTTGACAAAGTCTTGGGGGCAAGTGTTCTAGACCGGCCAAAGACCCACTTCATCTCAAATCTAATATACTCAACCCAAAGTATAAAACAGTTCACACGATAAGAATAAAATACAATCTCTGATCTCCACTTTCATCATACTCATCTTAAATCTTAATCTAACTTGAGTGTTGGAGTGTTAATCATGCAAGTCCATCCCGTACCACCATAAAAGAGATCGGAGTCAGCGTTCAAAATCGCCAATTATCCAATTATCATATTTTCTAATTCCTTTGTGAAACTAAGACATCCTTTCAAATTTGAGTATATGTTTTGTTTTTACAAAAACATGATACATAAGTATATAATTTTACACTAACATTGTTCTTTTAATTTTTTAAAATGATCAAGTATATAAAAATATATATTAGCTCTCTAAAACCCTCCAAAAATAAACTCACAAACATATCCAAGAGGTTTTTTTTATGAGAATATCTTACCTAAAGTGAAACAATATTTAAATGTCACACAACCAAAATGGAATATTTTCTTAGCAAGATAATTTTATACTAGAGGTGTGTGTCATTTTAACTCAACTAGCTAAGACACTAAAAAAAAGGCCCATTCTAACTCAAACGATGAACGTTTCATTTTAACATGAGATAAACTTTGAAGTAAAAAAAAAACAAACAAGTGAGAGTATGAATAGCAAAGTGAGGTGTATATAAAATAAAATTAGAAAACTCAATATCAGCGGTAAGAAGAACTGAGAAGAAAAACACAAACTAGAAAACGACGAAATGAGCGACGGAGGTGCAAAACGACAAGGCGGAAGACCATTACCGCCGCCGCCAAGAGGTCCTCCTCCGCCATCCTCTCGCCCTCGCCTCGAGCCCGTCGATCGCGAAAAGGTACTGTAAACCCTAAACCTGACTTCGTATCATCTTTTCCCTCTCTCTTTTCCAATTTGACCGTTTTTTTTTCTATAATTCCAGACTTGCCCCTTGCTCTTGCGTGTTTTCACTAAGGTACATCACTTACAGTTACACTAACTAACCTCTTTTATTAACCGTTTTCGTTCAGGATTGATCTAGAAAGTTGTGATTTTTTTTTTTGTTTTTTCAGATTGGAAGTCATCATACAATGGATGATTTTTCGGTTAGAGGGAAAGAACCTAAAGATGAAGTTCAGATTTATACTTGGAAAGATGCTACACTCCGAGAATTAACCGATCTTGTATTCCTCTAACCCTATCTATGATTTTTTATTTTGTTAATGAAATGGGTTTTTACTACAGTTAAAAACAGCTTTTGGATTAGCTTAAGCATGTTTGGGATTATTATACACATGTTTATAGCTTGTTAATCAACTGATTTATTGTCTACGAAGCATAATTTTAAAAAATGAATAAATTAAATTTAATCAAAAGTGTCGGTGTCGGTTTCGAACATCAACACTGAGTGGCACTTATTTTTCCGAGGTGTGATTTTATTGTTACCTTTGGAGTAAGTGTTTAATTAAGGGCGAGTTTGGAATAGCTACCCTATGAGTTTAATGGGGATACACACTGGCATAATAACTTGTGAGACTATATGAGAGAACTTATGAAAACAACTTATGATATGTTTATAAGTTGTTTTCAGCTTATTTTTATAAGCTCTTCAAGATAGCTACTGAAAACAACTTCTACAAAATTAATTTAACTTTATTATATTTTTGTTATATAAATAGCGTATACATAATCACTTATAATTATTAGTGCTTATGCTATGGTTGAAAATCAAGTTGTTTATCCAATCAGGACCTAAATTAGTTTTACATAGACTACTCTTGAAAACTCATCATATTGCCACATAAAATGAATTTGTACTAAATGTGCATTGGAAGATAATTTATACTAATAGTGCAAGACCCCTTTTCTCACAACTTAGTCACGGGTCATCTCGACTTATCTCTCGACTTATCTTATAACCATAAACACTTAAGTAAGGTTTAAGTGAGCTTATAAAAAATAGATATGACATATACATAAGTTGTTTTCTGCTTATTGAGAGCTTAGGAAAATAGCTTGTAGTTTTATGTGGAAACAATATAAACTTGTTTCATCTTTGATTATAGAAATAGATTATACATAAGCGCTTATCAGAAGTGTTTATTCAGTAATTTCTTAATTGACTAGTTTACCCAAACACACCTTTACTTGTTTATGTTTCCCGATGCAATTTGGTTTGTTTAGCTTTTACTGAGCTATGCTTTTGGAAATGCCTTTACATAAGTTGAAACCTCTTATAATTTGGATTGGGTCTAACTAAATCCTACAAAAGACTTGTTAAGTAAGGACTGCCCCACTTATAAACTTATGCTCAGGTCTTATCTCATCTATTGTGTGACACTTAACAAAAACTGATTTATGTTTAATGCTCTTAATAGAGAATTTATTGTCCTTCTGTTTCTATTGATGATTATAAAATTTTGATATTGTTTATTTATTTTGTTTTATGTATTTAATAATTTATTCAGTAAATTATGTGCAAGTTTCGAGCCTTTGAAAACAAAGAAATAAAGTGAAAGTAAGATTAAAATTGTCAAATTATTAGTCAGAATATGAAATGAAAAAGTAGAAACTGGGCCTTAAGAATATTCTCCGTTGTCTGTAAAAATAAATAAATTGATAGAGTGATAATGTTTTTCAATTTTTCTTTTTAGCTTATGCCTGCTTTTATTGTATATTGTATAGGTCAAAGAAGTGGCTCCTGCTGCAAGAAGAAGAAATGCAAAGCTCTCTTTTTCTTTCGTGTTTCCTGATAAAAATGGTCGTTTCAAAGTTCAAGAGGTAAATCTCCTCCCTATGCTGCTCTTGATTATTAATCTCCTTACTCCCATGTTTTTATGTGCATGTGTTTTTCTTCATATTTTGTAATTTTATCTATAATTTTACTTGTTGTGTTTTGGTTTTTATGAGTGAGCTGTTTACAATTACAAACTACAATCATGATTTTGTGTGTACTAATGATGGGTCAAATTGGTTTTATTGTAAAGCAACCACTATATCATTCATATTTGAGTGTTATTATGGAGCACTGTTGTCAAACAGTGGTTATAGTAGCGCTATTTGGTACAAAGTGTTGTCAAACTGAGGCTATTGTGGTGTTATAGATGTATGGTAGCAGGATTTGAATAAAACTTTTCCACAATCTGGAATTGACATTTGAAAATATTCTTATGGACTGTAGAGATAAGTATTATATCGCGGTTGCAACTTTAAGGTTTTTATGGTTCTGCAACCATATCATGACTGCATTAGCTGCTTTCATATATCACTTCAAGATTCTTTTACTCGCTTGTTTATTTACATTTCATGAATTTTATTTGTTAAGCTAATTGTCACAGACACTAGTAAATTTCAATGTATGTATGTGTCTACACATTTTGTCTGAGGACTGGTTTAAGCATGTTTCAAAGGATGGAAGTCTACGTGAAACTCGTCCCTGATCTGTTGTTTAAAGCTAACATCTTAAAGTTCATTTTACCCATTTTGAACAAGTTTGAAAACTTCACTAGTTTGTGCAAAGTGAAAAGCACTTCAAAGGCACTGAAGTCCAGTAGCACTCTGGCTTTGCATGCACACCTTTTAGCACCTTATTGATAACCCTAAAATGAAGGATTCAGTTTAGATGGAAAAAAGGAGTACTTGCTTTTAATTGGAAAATTCTAGTTAAGACTCTGATCATATGCATGAACAAATATAACAAATTATGAAGTTCTTTGATGTGAATCACTTTAGAGGCGTTGAATCTCAATGAGAAATAAAACTACCATCCATCTTGCTAACTCACTGGGACGATTTAAAAGATTAACTATGCAAAATAGTCTATTATAACATGTTTCTTCCCCACCCTCACCTCAAAGCATTGAAAATTTGAAACCCTCCGCCCCTTTATCTTGTTCTTTAGTTACTGTTGATATTGTGATTTAAAGCTAAATCTAAGTACTGTAAGAAGTCATTATGTAAAGAGATTCTAAAAAGTTATTTCCTTGAAGAGTACCTCAGTTTACTGCTGTAAATTGTAATCATGAATGATATCTTTTGTGTTGAATCAATCTAATATCCTGTTATTCCTGCTTGATTGCACTATGAAGGTGGGTAAGACATTATCTTTTGGAAATGGAAGATTAGATGATAACAAGGCTTTAGCAGAGCTTGGTTTTGAGGTAAAGAGTTATTCTTCCTGCATTTTTGCTTGCATTTTTCACAAATTCTTTTGCTGACTTTGTTTTGAATGTGCAGATTGGTGATTACTTGGATGTTGCTATTCTATAGGTGGTTATGTTTATGTAACATTGTTGTTTTGGGCTGCCCATCTGTGAGGGTCTCAAACACTTGGTCTATCTTGAAGCTAAATACTTTGTAGGATGTTTAGTTGTTAATGTTGCAGGAACTTAAAATGGTAGTTTATTTGATTATGAAAATGATAGATTGGCAATTGGTCAGCATGAAGACCAATTTATGACCTGTTTGAGAGAAGCAGAAAATGATATTAAAAGAGAAGCAGAAAATGACCTCTAAATGTCTATTATCATTATTATAACGGTCTCTTCCTGTATTATTGTTCACTTTAAGACTAAAAAATAGTATAAAATAGACTAATTTTAGATTCATGGAAGGAAAATTTATTGATAGGTAATACATCTATTTAGCAGTATGTGGTGTTGCTTTTTTAGTATATTTAGAATTCCAAAAAGAGGGTTTATCAGTTAGGTCTATGAAAAAGAAGTCCATGTGAATTAAAAATATAGGAACCATACTATGTTTTATATTCACTAGCAACTTGTGCTCAACTGTATACAAATCGGCATAGTGAAAAATGAAATGTCTAAATTGTTAGCGGGTGGATCCTTTGCAGGATGTCCTAAGATCTATTAGATGGATTTGACGACTCGTTAACTATGATTCTTACTACCATTGTCCCTTGTATTGATAGTTGTGGTGTAGTGTGATATGTCCAAACTATTCCAATGAGGTCCTCAGTCTTTTCTCCCTTTGTTTAAGCTAGTCGCTTCATTAATCCATTAAGGTTAATCTTGTGGATTTATTCTACTTCTCTGATTATTTATTGATGTTCCACTTAGGTAAACATAAGTTTGATGCCGATATTATTACACAAATTTTGGAGCATTTGCCTTGTAAGTTAGGTTCTGATACATGTGATGATCGAGTAAGGGAAACTATGTTTGTAGTTTACGTTCTTATGAACTTTTACATCATTTCTAATAGGGGGTTGAGGTTCGGCTTATATCCCCGTAGAAAAATATTTTTTGTTTAATCATTATTATAAATAAAAATAATTAATTTTATATTGATTAAGAATATCTCTAGTGGGAGTATCTTAAGTGGGTAAATCAAAATATTTTTTGTGGGTCCAAAGTTATTTGTAGAATTTAAAAAATTTATAGTCGATTTGATTTGTTTTTACTTTAATGATAGTTGTTTATAAAAAACTAAAATTTGACCCTATATTTTATATTTTTTAATTGTAATTATATTTTTTTATTAAAGTTACTATTAATTTAATTATTATAAATAAAATATATAAAATATAAATAATAATATTATATGTTTCAAAATAAATAATATATGTTAACTATATAATTGTCGGAAATTAAAAGTTAGTGAATTAAATGTCATGTTATAATTATTCTAATGCAAAAATTTTATAATCATCGTTAATTATAAAAAATTTAACTATTAAAAATCTACAATACTCTAAGAAAGTTAATTAAATACAATTAATTTTCTAAGTGTCATGTAAAACACAAATTAAATTTACTAAATTATTCCTTTTGAAAGTTATTTGATCAACAATGCATTAAATTGTTGGAAATCCCCTCTAACACGTGTTATGAGAGATGATTATGTCATTTGTTTAAATTGTTTGAATTTGTGAACTTTCTCTTTGCTACTTAATAGTACCTTATTTTAGATATAATCCTTAAACTTCTTAACTCATGTTGAGTTTGAAGTAATGACACATACTTCTACTTAAGAAACATTAGGTGTTGCAATGCCTTAAAACCTATGGACTAATGTTGACTAGATGCCTTCATGCTATTTAGTTTCCCCAACTCGATAGCTTTGATATTTTCACTTTGGGGATGTGGCAGGTGTCAATTTCTTTAAATTACTTCACAGGTTTAGATTTATTTAAGTAGTTTCCTTAAGGGTTCTCTAATGTTTTTTTTTTTTTGGTTTGATTCATAATAAGTTTCTTATTCTCTTTTGGCTTGATTCATAATAAGTTGAGAGCCTATATTGACTTAGATATGTGATATTACGATTTCCTCCGGTTTTATTTATAAGAAGAAAAAAATTATTTTTTAGGTTCAATGAATATTGTATCATAGAAAAGATACATTGATCATTCAATAAATTTAAAAAGTTAATTTTCTCTTATAAATAGAATTAGAGGAAATATCTCTTAATCTAATTGCATACATGTGATTAGGCCTCCATGTCCTTTAAGAATGATATGTGTTTTGATTTCATTGATATCAGATTAACCATCAACAAAGGTCATTCATAGGTGAGTATGTGGTGATAATGTCATCTCAACCACAAAATTCTCTCAGTTTAAAGTCAGTTTGGAACTCGAAGAGCTCTATTGGACACATCACCATCATTCTTTAAAACATTAGTTATTGCAAGATTTTCATAATAAGAAATTCTATTCTGATGACTATTAGGTGTGAATGGTGTTAAATGTGTAATTCTTTGTGTTAAGCATCTTTGAAAAGTATAGGAATCAACAGATTCGAAGTTGAATATGTTTGATAGAGTAGTAGTTGTATATGCATGTATTCGATATAAGGTTGAATGCAGCTTACAAGAAAAGGAGTTGCATGTATTCGACAAAGAGTAGAATACAGCTAGTCGAAGTCAAAGTAGTCAGTATTCGACAGAGTTGGATAACAACTTGTTAAAGTTAGTTAGTCAGTTTGAGATTGTTTGATGCGTAAGCAATCTTATTATAAATAGGCAAACATCCTACATTTGTAATTGTACAATTTTTTATTTAATTCAATACATTCTTCTTCCCTTCTCTAAAACCCTAATTTTTCTCTCTCTTCTATTTCCTCTCTAAAATTATCTTCTCTCTTTAAATATTTATGTGAAAGAATCGTCTTGCAACCAAGGTGTGGTTGAATCACTTGAGAGAAGAGTGGGGAACGAGAATCTTGAATCAATCGAGAAAGCAATTGAATCTTGTTATATCAAGATTGATCTAACATTTGGTATCTAGAGAATTGATTGTAATTCTCAAAAAGCATAAAACAATGACTTCTCATATGAATGAACATTTTCCAGAAAATCTTCCCATCTTGAATAGCAAGAATTATGATAATTCGTGTAAGCATGTGAAGGTTGTCTTCTACTATCAAGACATTTAAGATCTTATGAAGAATGGAGTAACACCAATTGACGAGAGTTCCACGGATGAACAAAAGGTTGCACATAAATATTTAAAGAAGAAAGATTATAAAGCTCTCTTTATAATCCTTCAACGCGTTGATCCAGACAACTTTGAGAAAGTTGGTGATGTAGACTCATAGAAGGAAGCAAGAGACATCTTGGAGAAATCTTTTGGAGGTGCTGAGAAGGTGAAAGAGGTGAGTTTACAAACTCACAAAAGATCTTATGAGTTACTTTAGATGGAAGAAAGTGAAAGTGTGGTTTATTTCTTCACTAGGGTAACAAGACTGGTGAATCAAATTAAGATGTATGGAGAAGTTTTGACATCAAGATCGATATTTGCAAAAATCTTGATGTCATTACTTCCAAAAATCGATCATATGGTAGTAGCTATACAAGAATTTAAGGACCTGTCAAGAATGACAAAAGAAGAGCTTCAAGGGGCGCTTGAATCTCATGAACAAAGAATTGCTGAAAGAACTGCATGCAAGACGAAAGGCGATGTAGCTACGCAGGCATAATTATCAAAAGAAAAGAAAGGCAAAGAAAAATGGAATAAGAACAAAGGTAGTAACGGTTACAACAATTGAAATGGTAGGAGTTACCAACAAGAAGGAAATCTGTCAAACAAGAGACAATCCACAAACCAAATGAATCACAGAGGTGATGCTGCAGGTAGAGGAATGGGTGGTGGAAGGAAACCCAAAAGAGTCATATTCAATGTTTTAATTGTCATAAACATGGTCTGTATGCTAGTGATTGTCCAAAAAACAAAATAAATAATCGAGAAGGTGATGTAAGACTTCTAAAACATGAAGAAGAAGAAGAAGAAGAAGTATTGTTGATGGTCACAACAAAAGAAGAAGAAATATTAAAGGATCAATGGTACTTGGACTCAGGCTTCACATCACACATGACTGGAAGGAAATATTGGTCTATCAACACCAGTCCATTAATGAAGAACAAGATGAAATTTGCAAATGGCAATACCCTAGTTTTTGAAGGTATTGGTGATGTTCTGATCATGAGGAAAGATAGCAAACGATATGTAATTTCCAATGTATTATAGATACCGGGTATGAAAATAAATTTTCTTAGCATAGGGAAACTGATCGAGAAGATTTATAAAATATTGATAGAAGAAAAGATGATGAGAGTACTCTGCTCAAGTGGCCATTTAATCTTGAATGCACCTATGTCTCAAAACAAAACCTTCAAGATTGAACTCGATGTTATGGAGCACAAGTTTTTGGAAACTGTAGTTAGCATGAATGAATGACCATGGCACTACAGACTTGACCATCTCAACTTAAAAGAAATTAGAAATCTGAAGAGAAGAAATATGGTTTCAGGTTTACCAAAAATCGACATTCCAAATGAATTATGTGAAGAATGTATTTAGGTAAAGCAACACAAGAACGACTTCAACAAAGATGCAAGAAGTAAGTAAAAAATAACCTGTGAGATCATATACTCAGATGTGTGTGGTCTTTTTCAGGTACATTAGGTTTGAGGTAATAAGTACTTTGTTACGTTCATAGATGATTTTAGCCAAAAACTATGGAAATACATAATAAAGAAGAAAAGTGATGTGATTGAGGTATTTTCCAAGTTCAAAGCTATGGTGGAGAGACAAAGTGGCCACAAGATCAAAAGTTTGAGGACTGATGGTAGTGGAGGTATTTGTCGAAAGACTTCGATACATTATATGAAAGAGAAAGGATCTTGCATGAGGTGGTGCCACCTTACACTCCACAAGAAAATAGTACTACTGAAAGGAAGAACATGACCATCATGAATACGGTAAGAAGTATGTTCAAAGGTAAGCATTTACCAAATGAGTTATGGGGGTG